TTGATTTTAATTTTAAAAGTCTCTAGGGCCCTTTCAGCCAACATCTCATCAGGAGACAATCGTTGGATTAGCGAAAAGAATATTAACGATAATGAAGAGCAAAAAAGGGGAAAACACTAAAATAACAAACAAGTATATATACTTGTAACGAGGGAGGGAAATAATCGTGTAAATAAATTAGCGAGGGACAGTTAAAATAAAATATCCCCCAACAGATTAAGAGACTTTACAAATCCTTTCTGCCGGCAGAGAGAAGGTTTCCTTAATCCTATGCAGACTGATTCCAAAATCTTTAAATGATTGTTGGAATCACTTTGTATGAATAATTTTAAACCACTCTTTTTTTAAACAACTTCTGCAGGCTATATTCTCAACTAAATGTTGAACAATAGCCGATTGCATATTCATGGGGGAAGATAGCATATTCTATTTATCTTACCAAGTCGTATTTTGGAAGGTACGTGCTGATTGATTCTAGTTTCCAAATGCAAGGTTGTACGCCCCACATAACCAGCAGCACACTGGCAATTAAATTCATATACTAAATTACTCAGTTTGATGTAGGCAATACATCCTTGCGAAAAGACGAAAACGCAGACCTAGTTCGAAAAATGCTACGTAAAGCAACTGATGGGAAACAACTGGAAACCGACTTGCTAACCTGCTTAATTAAGCCCTGACCCCTATCCCCAATCCAGGGAATCTTCAAATATATATATATATATATATATATATATATATATATATATATGGAATAAAAGTTCAGCACTTTCTTAGTTTATATAGCAAAATATTCCTATGTCTTAATATTTTGCTTAATTTATAGAAAGCCTCTTTAACTATTCCAGTGTACCTTCAGCTTTGTGTCACACTTTCCATTGTACTAAGATACTTAAATTTCCATATCTGTTTTAGAATAACTCATGACTCTGGCTGTCTCTCTTGCTGGTGGCCATACATTCTGTCTTATAGCTAATAATTAGTTCTTGCTTTCTTTTGCTAGCTTCTCTAAGAATTTCTGTAATTTTCTTTCCGAGAAAATTTTAAATTGACTAAACTGATATATATGTATAAAAAAATTTACTGATATTGTTTTAATCATAGTTTGCTGTGGAATATTAGCAAAATGAAACTGCTAGATATTTCTGCACATGTAACTTCTAAAATGATGCTACAGTTGCTTTTTAACAAGCAGTGTTGACAACAAGTACCATAAATACAAAATCAGTGAAATTGGTGAGGTGGGGAATATAAAAAAAAAAAAAAATTACGACCTACTTCCTAAAAATCAATATTCTGATGCTTACCCATTAAAATACCAAATTTGAGATATGGACCAGGCTGAGAACTTTTCAACAACCCTCATATAATTTCTAAAAAGTAGTTTTAGGGGAAAACAAACACAAAAATTTAGACTGGATTGTGAGATAAATGAAACAATCATGTCTCCGATTCTCTAATGTTTCTACATAAATAACCTACATTGATTTTGTTATGAAACTTGATTCAACTGATCTAAATAGGTTTTGTAAATAATTAATGAAAACAAACTGGTACAAATAAGTAATCCATTCTTTGAGAGATTGGATCCAAAATATTACTAAGGTTTTCTCACACAGGTAAGCTTTCTTATTTCCTGTAATGTCGGTTTCTGTTTTCATTATTCTGTGATCAGTTTAAAATTAACTGCAAAACATGGTTTAGTTCTTCCTTAGTATTGTAGGGTGTTCAAGCAACACCTCTTCTCAATGTTTTTCCTTAATATTTAGCAAGTAGAGTGCTTCAACATAGTGTAATGGCTAGAAAGCTTGTCTCACTAGACCAATTACAACTGAGTAGTGATTTCAATCCTCACTGGGTACTCCTTAATCTCGGCCTTGTGTCACAATTAAACTATACTTTGTCAGGCACTTCAACATGGTGTAATGATTAACAAGTTTGTTTTAATATGTTTTCAGTTATGACCAAGTAGTAAGTTTGATCCTCACTAGGTGCTCCTAACATTCCTTGTGCAACATCTAAGCTACACTTAGTAAAATGCCTTAATATTTAGCAAGTTGAAAGTCAAATTTTCTTAATCAGTCAAGTAGTTTTTTGAATACCTGTCAAGTAACTACAAGAAGCTTCTGGTTTTAGCCATAATATTTGTGTCAGTTACAAGGAGTTTTTGTTTAACAAAAATAAAATGATGCCTGTTTTTGCATATTTGAACTGTTGAAACTTACAAATTCATTTTTTTAAATATTGGCCTTTTAATTTACTTTTTAGTTTATTTACCCTATAAAAACAAGAAAGAACACTCAAGATAATATATAACAAGAAACTTAAAAACTAAATGCTATAGCTATATTCTTTAAAATAGGGTGTTTGAAAACCCCATGGTACTAATGCTGTGACAATATCCCACAATACTAATGGAGGATTAACACACTTCATGATATCTTTATCTTCATGACTATTTCTAAAAAATTAATGGATTTATTTTTAATCTGGCATTTTTATTACTTCAAACATTATTATAAAGGTCCCTTCATATTTGAAATAGATGCCTCATTTTTGGACCTTCAAGAAACTTTAGTAAAGAAAATGTTTTCTGACAGGGATTGAAGTTGTGTCCCTCTTTGTAGTGCTTTACTTAAAAAGGGAAAATAGAGCCTTGCATAGTGTGACGTTCTTCATAGCCAAGCAGTAAAACAAATTTAATTAAACAATGGTTTACCCCTTTACTAAGATTTCTCAAATGTGCTTCTTTTTTTTTTTTAAACTAATCTTCACCCAATACAAGTCCCAAGAATCACTCAAAGTAGAGTGTTACTGTGTGGATTTATATTAGCATAAAAAAGAGCAAGCATTAGGAGCACAGAGCTGAAGCAGACTTTAGAAGGAACCAGAAACCCAATCCTAAACAGGAAACAAGGGATAAACCTCTACTCCAGTTAAAAAAAACATGGGGGTGGGAGTATGAACCAAATGAAAGGTGAACATGCTGCTAAATGAAATACTGTTTAATAAATAAAAATGGGTAATCTATATCAAATACAAATTGTCCACCTCATAACTATGTAATTTTTTATTCAGTTTTTATCTAGCAAAATATATGATTATGCATTTTAATCTGTGGTCATTCAAATATACACAAACAATAACATTAGTTGCAAGTTTGATTAGAAATGACAGACAATGAATGTTTTTAGTTAATTTTTCTTGTTTTTTTCAATAAAAATCCATACTGTCTTAATGTTTGTGATCAAGTTCTTTCAACTACACTTCTGGTCATTATCAAAATCCAGAGTAATGGGAGAGAGTGACTATCAGTATTTCCAGCCTTCACTTATTGTACTGTTACAAGAAAATGCTTGATCATAAACATTTGGATAATATTTACAATCATTGAACCTAAACATATGATTAAAAAGTTAACTCAGAAAAGAACATTTTAATTAAACATATATCAATGAAAGACTGCTACCTAAAGAGATATTTAAACAATAATTGTATCGATCATACACACTGGAACACACATACACATAAAGTGAATCTTAATAAGAAAGATTTCTATATATTTAGCAAGTTTAACTTAGTATGATACAAAGCCAAATGAAAGGAAATGAAATGAGGAAGCCTGTCATTCCAATCCTCTAAAGGGAGGAGAGTCTGTCCGCTTAAAAAAAAAAAAAAAAAAAAAAATCAACATTTGCTTTATTTTTACCTAGGCTCAAACACCAACCCCAAATACCAATGAGAAATAAATATAAAACTATTTCAGCTGTGAGGTAGACCACAGTTTGACTTGGTTCTCTCCAAGGCAACACACAAAGACATGTGCATTAACACAAGACTAATTATATAGATACATCAATAAACAGATACCTGATGAGTGTTAGGAAACAGAATTATTAAAGATTAAAAACTAGTCAGCAGTAATCACAGGCAAAGAGAATTATAAAAACACAGAAAAGGAAAATGTACATATGCAAATAACATAATATTTAGCTATAAACAATTTTTTTTTATATATCAACCTCCCTCCACCACTCAACTGCAAACATGGAGAGTAATAGGCTTTACTCTGCTGTACAGACCCAAAGCATGTGGGGGGGGGGGTATAAATTCAGAAGTTTCTTTCACCTAGACTGGCTGCCCTACCAATGCTATAAAGCACAATCTAGTCTATTTTTACTTGTAGCTGGAGAGAAAAGAGATAGACTCATGCCTTTCCAAAGAGCATTAGTGTAAAGCAAAGGTAACAACCTTCAACAGAATTTGAACTCTGTCAATTTCATGTTCAGTACAGATAACCATTATGCCACCCAATCATAAAAAATAACAAATACAACTATGGAACAGAATATTTTTTTATCATTTCACCCCATGCAAGACAATAAAGTCACCAAGACAAAAGGGGGTTACTAAATGTAAAAGAATATTAAAAAATTTTAAAAAAAGCTTTATGAAGAACAATGAAAGAATAGGAAGAAGACAAAAGATAATGATTGACATTTCATTTAAATTTTCAAAGATCAAACTTGACTGGAAAGCAAGAAGCTAGAAAAGAGTTCCACAAGCAAGAAGTGCAAGAGAAGAAACTGTTAGCATAGAACTTATGGTTACATCTAGTCACTTCAACTGTAAAATGATTTAACTTAGCTGTCAATCTAGAATGACACTCATAGTACTGCATGTAATTTCTATCCTTATGAAATGCCTTTAGACTGGAGCTTTATGTGCAAGATTGATTTGTTCTTTATGGCTTATTAAACTTTTTAAGGTTATTTAAAGCCAAAACATATTTTTGGATTGTAAAAGTTCTTTGAAAATAATAATGATTTTCTGATACAAGTCCTACTATTTAGCCCATAGCTGATAGAAGGAGAGGTGGATTCTTATTTTTCCCAAGGGTATTTGTGCATAAGTGAATATAACAAACCAACTGGAATTCGAACCCAACTCTCCAATTTCCAATTCCAAACAGTTATCCATTACAGCACACACATCCAAACTTACAGCACCTGATATTCCTGTGTGTTTACTCACCTAGGTACTGACCAGGCTCAACATTGCTTAACTTTAGTGATTGGATGAGAACTAGTGTTTCTACGTTATATGGCTGTAAGCCTTTACACGCAAGACTCATATCTGCATTAGATCATCCTCAAAGAAAAGTTTAAAATGTTGAGATAACACAGTTGTCTGTAAAATTTTTTCCTTCAAACTGTATTCAAAGAGACATTTTGTGACATGTAAGCTTGAAATAAGGCATTTAAAAATCTAATATTTTGTTATGTTTTTATCTTTAATAAATAAAAAGAATAAATAAATAAATAAAAGCTGTTTTCAAAAATTCAAAAATGCCAGTTTTAACATGTTGCATTATGTAAATTTTAAAATATTATTTTTTAATTGAATTTAAATTTTAAATTCATCAAAATCAATATAATGATTCTTCTGCCACAAGATAAATGTGCACAAGAGGTTTTTATAAAGATGTTCGTTTTTGTTAGAAATATGCTGGCCCCACATTTTACCTCCTACTCCCAGGCATTCTTTTTTTAATCCCAATATTTTGCACAGATAAAAAAATACAAATAGTTTTTTTTTGTTTTTTTAAGTTCCCAAGATCAATAGAGTGCTTCTTGAAGGCATGAATTTGTACATAAAAATTTTACTGCAATATAGCCATTGTGTTTGCAAGCATGTTGATCAGACAGATGATGGTAGAAGGAGGAAAAGGAGAGGGTGGAGAGGAATGTTGTCTATAGGCGACATCCTGCTCCTTGGATTCCTCAAAAGTAAAATAAAACCTAATATGAATATCCTTCTCCTCAAATTACCTATAATACAAAAAAAAAAAAAATTTGTGATTACAATCTGGCAAAAGTACCCAAGTACTACAGAGATGGGCAGTTTTGTGGCATAGGTGAATATGCTAGTAGCACACAAACAGAACTGCACCTAGAGGTGCAGTTATGCATGTCAGATGGCAACAGCAGAAATGTTAGAGAGTAAAAACAGACAAATTTTCTCCAAAGAATAAGTGGGTGGGGAGAAAAAGCCATGAACAGTCAAAGGGTAGGCGATGCATATTGAAAGAGAGGCAGTCAAGAAATGATGTTTTGAATGACTTTGGGACCCATGCTATATATATATATATATATATATATATATATATATATATATATATATATATATATACACTCCTTTCCCCACCACATTAAAACAATTTCTTTCTTTCAGTATTATGTAAGTCTTTGTGAGCCTAGTTTTTTTTTTTTAAACAATTGGGAGAAAGATAAAAGGGCAAGGAAAAAAAGTCAAAACTATTTTTTTCATACGAAATTAGAATCCTTCAAAAATACAATATGCAAATTAATATATTAAAGTCTATAAAACAGACTTATGCCTAGTTCCTAGAAATATGTTTTCCAGGCAGCACCCCTTCTCACCGCACTGAAGGGATATATGCTCAGTGGAACTCCCTAATACTTATGACAATATATTAATCCAAACCAAACAATTTCTGCTTTTACCCATACACAAATATGTGTAGATTCCCACATTTAAAAAAGGCCTCATAATATATCCCATCCCAGTATGACAATTTGTAAATGATCATCTATATGAAAATAGAAGTGAGATTAAAACAAATTTAAATTCTACCTTACCCTCCAAGCAAAATGATGCTACATTACCCAGAGTCATTACAAACTAACCTTTTATATCAAACAGATTTTTTTTCTAATGAAAAGCATGTGTGCACTGATGCTGATACTCACACATACTTTCTGTTTTGCATCTGTAATGTCCAATAAGAGTACCTCAAAAAAAAATTAACAATCCATCATAACTGATTTTTTATATATACAGATATATGAAATCTAATTTGATAAGTACAGAACTTACAATTGTAGTATAAATTATGAGCATGAAATTAGTTTTTAAAAGATTTCATTTACACGATAATGTTTGAGCATTTTTTAATAAGGTCTATTCAATCCCTATTTTAGAGAGATCCTAAATTATTACAATATCATTCTCTTGAACAATTTCAGTAAATTTAAATGTACAATTTTTAAAAAATATAATTTTTTATCATCTATTACACAAGAACAAGCTAGAATTATTATTATGACATTATACTTTAAAAAAATTAATTTTTTCAACTATATTAAAATGTAACAAAATGAAGAGAAAAATTTATTTTTACTCCACTTATTTTTCATTCAAGATTCAAAGCAGTCTATCTAATAATTACATATTTATTACATGACAAATATGAGGAAACTAATGATTAAAACATATTTACAGTTAATTTGTATACACAGACTATTACAAGTAGACGGCTGGGGAGGTGGGTACCAAAATCCTAAATGTCATAAATACCATAGTACTTTCAAAGAAATTTCATGATACCACTACCTTATCTAGAAATTTAGTATTTTTTATACACCTGTACTAAAATATTTTAGGGCTATTTTAGTGAAACCCCACTTTTTGTATACCCAGGTCCAATATGCATCTGGTGTATTTGTGGCAATCATTTAAGCAATAAACTCATGTGGGAAGGATGATACCAAGTAAGGTACTAAACCCATGGCCTTGGTGGGTGGTGTCAGTTTGGTTTTCTAACTTGAGGGTACCAGCAATGATGGTATCAAATGGGATGATATGGTATCTAGCTATGGTGCCATCTTTCCTGTCACCCAGTTGTGAAAAGAAAAAGACAAAGAGAGAAAAAGTGGATTAGAGGCCACAAGATCAATAACTTTCATTCTAAGAAATGATAAATGTAAAATCCCTGCCTTTAAACATATATCAGATATTAATGTTAGCTAATAAGGGGGAGGGTGCTGAAAAATTCTTAACTTTCGTTCACTTCCCATAATATGACCAAACATCAGAATCTACTTGGGAATCCTTTCTTGGTTAGTCAAAGAACTTTTCAGCACCCCCTTGTAATAGACAAACCTTGAACAGGAAGTTAAAAATATCAGTTAATTTTAATGACAAAACCAATGCAGCAATTGCATTCAGTTATCAGTCCACACCCAACACTAAGGTAAGTATTAGAGAAAATATAGTAAATAATTTACATGAAATATTTACTCTTTAGAATTATCATCCATAAGGAATAAAAAAAAACAAAAATACATTGGTCTTCTAACAAGCTGGTTCTAGTTCAATTCTAGCAATAATCATCAATATCTGACTATCTTAGAAATAACTGTCAAGATCATTGATAAGTTTTTTTTTTTTTTACAATATTAATCAATTTGTATATTAATAACATCCAATAGTATGATGTTTAAAGTTTTTACCAGTAATTTCCTAAGTATCTTTTTTCTTTCTTTTTCTTTTTTAACCAAATGATGACAAAAAAAAAATCACCAATACAAACAGTTAATATAACACAAAACTTTTCCCTTTATCCAGAGCTAGGTTGGTGAGGTGTGTTACCATTATTTTGTATGAAAACAATTCTATCCAACAAATAATTATACATTTTGACTGGGTGTGACAGTTCACAAAGGTAAAACTTTAGCGCATTCATTAACTTTTTTAGACATAGAAGTTAATCATCTTTAAAAAGCAAAGACTGGGTGTAATAGCAACGGGACAAACAGTTCTTAGGATAGGAAACTGTGGAGAGCCATGATCGTCCACGTCTAAAGAGACACAGCACATAAAAGAAGGCATGAATATCACTCATCTTGAGGTACTATGTCTAGTACAAACAAAAATCTAACTAATGATTAAAAAAATGAGAAATCAAAAATTTACTAACTTCTCAAAGAAAACCCATAACAGCCAATTTAAATAGAAAATAGTATACTAAAAAGTATTAAAAACAGAAATGATACCAATATAAGTGAATATTTCTTCTATATAATAAATGTAAATGTCAGTGTGTCACACTTTTTTTGACTTTACTCGTATAAGCAGTAACCCAACATATCACGCCCTTTTAGAATCAGGCCAACTCCATGAATAAATTAAAAATATACCAGGCTGGATCCAGACTCGCAATCCTGAAGTTTTGGATTCCCAATTTTTCATTACTGTGATTGTTTTTGACAATTTTATTAACATGATTTCTTGTGACAAATTTTTTTTTGTACGATAATTTTTATAATTTGGAAATAATTGAAATTAATTGTGAAATCCAGTGAAAGTCACCCATGAAATAAAAATAAATGTTTGTACAGAAAGTAAGGACCTATGTATATCACATTGTCTATAAATTAAGTGGCAGCAGAAGAATTATCGGATCTTTACAAAGTAAGTTTAAATATTAATGCAATACTTAAACGCAGCAATCAATTTTGAGTTCTTCTGTAGCTTATTGTTGCCTATCGCACCTACTCCTCCTTGCCAATTGTGCTGAAGGCCCAATCAAGAACCCTCTACAGGAACTAGCTTAAATGCCACCCGATAGAATGGCTTTTAAGCTAGTTTATAATATTAACAAATAAAATAAAAGCCTTATAAAACTAACTGTTGTGTATTTTGATTTTATCATCATTCTTAACATACTTTTCCCATAGCTTTTCAGTCACAACTATTAGAAATTAGCCTGGTGTTACTTCTTTTGTGTGCCATGCCCTTTCAGGTGTGGGTGATCATGACCCTCCACAATTTCCTATCTTTGTAGCTCTTAGTAAATTTTTTCTTTTTATTATCTCTCCTAAACTCTGTCCCTCTTGACTTCAATGTTCTTTCAGTGTCAAAGGCCTCTTTCTTCATTATGTACCCTAGAAATTTCAACTGTTTCTTTTTTTATGTTAACTATAAATGTCCTTTTTGCTTCCTTTTTCCCTAAAACTTCACCGATGCTCATATGTCCAGTCCATAATATTCTCAGCATCATTCTGCAGAGCCACATTTCTATTGCCTCAAGTCTTTTCTTCATCTGTAAGGAATCATCCCATACAAGGCCCAAGAACAACTCAAGGTAGAGGGTTACTGTGTGATAGTGTATGAACATAAGGAAAGGTAAAAAATGAAGGTTAATCAGGAAAGATAATGGTTAACCCTAAACTTGAAGAGGTGAAGATTGCGGTAATTGAGAAGACATTCTGCTAGGAGTCTGTTTTCCTGCTTTGTGGAACAGAC